GAGCTCACACCCGGGGGCTCTGGGTGGGGCCCACGGAGACCAGGAACCCCACGGTGACCACCAGGTGTGGCCCCTGGTGAGGTTAGCCGGGGGACTGCGGGTCCCATCGTGGTGCCTCTGCTAAGGCTGGCCCACAGAGCACTCGATGGGGCTGTGCTGCCTCAGCTCTCTCGTCTGTGAAATGGGCACACAACACCTGCCTCTGCTTTGTTCAGGAGTCTGTGGCCCTCGAGGGGCCGGCTGACAGGCTCTGACACCCTCAGATCCCAGGTCTCCGGGGAGCTCAGACTCAGCATGCTGGGGGGTTGTGGGCCTGCTGAGACACCCCCTGGCTGAGAGGACAGGAGTGTGGAGCCTGCCCTGGGAACCTGAAAGTCAGAGGGAGGAGGCCTCTGGAGACGGTCCGGAAGTGGCCAGCACCTCCCTGAGCCTGCGGGTCTAGTAGAAGGAGGGGGTGGGGGAAGACCCCTGGGTCCGTGGCTGTGGTACAGAGGGGCCGCTTCCAGTGTGCGGAGCTCTCTGACTGACCCTGCTCCCTGAGAAGTTGTCCGTGAGGGGCCGAGGGATAGGCACAAACCCACACAGCACACTCACAGCCGGTCACACCCGCGGCTCCAGATGTGCGCGGACACAGGGACACGCCCGCTGCTTCACTCACCACCTTCCAGTGCTGATCTTTTCCTCACCATCTGAGACCAGAGGGCCAAGGAGCCCAGATCTGCCCACCCCACAGGTCCTTAAGGCTGGCTCTGATTTCTGGAGACGAGGGGGTCTGTGTGCTCAGCACCTTCTCCCAGCTTGGTATAGTCATGGTCTCTTCGGGAAGGAGGGTGACCTCGGGCTGAGGGAGTGGCCTGGGTGCCCGCCCTCTCTGTGGCTCTGACCACCTGGACCTCAGCAGGCTGCCGGTGCTCGGGGAGCCTCAGTTCCCCTCATCTGTGAGGGGGGGGGCACTAGCGCCTGCCTGCCGGGCTGGTCTGCGCGTCACATGAGGTAAAGCACGAGCCTCAAGCAGCACTCAGCCAGGGGGTCACCGTCAACCTGTCCGGGGCTACCGCCCACAGTGACACACCTGACCCACCCCCTGTAGCCCCCCAGAGTTCCGGCGGAAGCGGGAGCCCAGGGGCCCAGCACAAAGGGCTGAGGGTGCAGGGGCCCGGTCCACTTGCGACCCCTCATGTCCTAGAGCGGCCAGAACCCCAGGCCCCCGGAGCCCCACGGCGCCACCCAGAAAGTCCCCAGATTGACCCTGCTTCTCCCAGTGACTTCCAGGGTTGGGTGGAGAGAACTCGGAATAAATGATGCCTTCCCCTCCGCCAGAAGATGGCAGGTGACTTTCTGAGCCACAC